ATCTGTGGAAACAAACCTGCCATATCAAGTGAAGTCATAAATGACCCTGCATAAACTCTATCAACAGCCAGCCCATGCTCAAGCTGCAATTTTGGAACTGCTTTTCCAGCTGCAATCATTAGTTCCATTATAGGAGTGCCACCTAACCTGCATATGAAGAATCATTAAAAAATAAACAATCTACTAAAAAAGGAAAAATTTCTGGTCAAAAGGAATCCTGAACATCAATAAAATAATTGAAATTTGAAAGCATCTTTAGATGTAATATTTGAAATTTTGTGTGGGATTCATTAGTTAGAAATATCTGAAAAATATTTATAAGTACAATGAATTCTAAATTTCAAATATTTTTCAGATATTTCTAACTAATGAATCCCACAAAAATCAATAATCTACAGGTGATTTGATAATGACTTGATAGTAGGTGGCCTAAAAAGCCTACAAACAATCAATAATTGCTATGATATAAGTTCTTATATGCTCTGATATCATCTTAAGAAAGTGGGTTAAAAGCTTAACTCAATCTTACAAAATCAACTTGTAAGATAGGGGTTGTCCCCCATTTATATACTCTTTAATTGTCTTATCTCTAATTGATGTGAGACTTATAAGTACAATAAATTCTAAAAGAGCATGGATCTTTCTTAGAATGTGGGTTATAGGCTTAACTCATTCTTACAAAACTAGCTTATAAAGTAAGGATTGTTCTCCACTTATATACATTATTATGACCTTATTCTTGGTCGATGTGGGATCTCTAACACACCCCCCTACAAAAAATCAATAATCACTAGGATATAGGCTCTGATACCATCTTAAGAAAAAAGGATTAAGAACTTAATTCAACCTTATAAAATCAGCTTGTAAGGTGAGGATTGCCCCCCACTTATATATATTCTTTAAATAACTTATCGCTAGTCAATGTGAAACTTGGGTTTTTTTTAATATACCCCTCACACCTAGTACTATTGGGCTTGGTACGTGGATAAATGATAGGTGATCCTTTTTTAATGAACTAAGATAGGCAAGACTAGAGTTTTTCTCAACACACCCCCTTAAGCCCAACACTATTGGTCTTGGAGTGTGTATCAATGCTGGATGACCCATTTAGAATGGATCTAAATAGCTCTAGTACCATCTTAATATAGTGGGTTATGGATCTAACTCAACCATACAAAACCAACTTGTAAGGTGAGAATTTTTCTTCACTTATATACATTATTATGACTTTATTCCTAATCGATGTGGGATCTTCAACAATCTTATTAAAAATACAATATAAGAATATACAAATACTGAAGACTGAGAAGTGAAGATTGAAGAAGGGAGCTTAAAAAACCTACAAAAGATGCACACACAAAAAAGCTGTTAAGGTTGATGAATTTTTAAATTTTAATGCTACCTAAATAAAAGGCAATAAATTTTCAATATAAAATACACCAGATTAGACAACCTTTTTTGATGAAATCTCTTTGGTTGTAGACAAAAATGTTATCTACTATACACACTGCACTCAGACATACAAACATATACTTAAAAATTCAAGTTCCAACATTAATAATATTAGCAAAATTCAGGCAAAGATAATATTCATGAACCAACCCATTGATCATGAGGATCACTCTCCTCAAGTTATTGGAACATAGTTTGTTACCTGAAAACATTGACATAAACAGATTGTGACCCATTCACTACAATGATAGTTGCTACACTTGAAGAGACACAAAAATAGTTAATACTTGAAGCACTTCCAATGAAGAAAGAGTAAATTGATAGTAGATTCAATTTTGGGAAACTATGCACATTATTCCCGCCAATTCCCAGAGTTCTTTGTAAGATATTGTAGTCAATTTAGCAGATAAAATAGTCCATTTGGCATCTTTATGCTGCTTAGAGAATGCCTCTAGAATGGGTTTTCTTTGTACAAAATTTGTAAGATCAGGGGGTTCTATCATTTGAATATACTTCCCAATTTTAATTTTTAATTAGTCATTAATTCTTTTGGACTCAATTTAGAGAAAATAACTTTTAATCAGTGTATTGTCCTGTTCTCTCTCTTACAAATGCTAGTCTATACCAACATAAGTCGGCAGAACACGGTTTGGTCTCTAGTGTCTCCTATACCCTAAAAATTAGGCACTGATGCTAGCAGGTAGCTTCTTGAATAGAAAATAAAAAAAAAAAGATAGAATAGGATGTCTATATGAAATAGAGAGGGGGAAAGAAAAATAAAGAACTTAAAACACTATAATTCTGCAGTCTCATAAATATGATAAACAGGATGCCCGCAGTACAGTCAAAGGCAAAGCATCAAAGTTCATTTGTCACAAATACACCAACTGTTTTGATGTGGTTGAAAGTACATGTTAGAAGAACATTTCATTCCCAATAGCATACACCCATCAAGAGCTTTCCATTAATATTGTGGCATACCATGGACAATATTTGCTGCAGAACATGAGAAACCACCACATTTACAGGTTGAATATCAGCCACAGGCCCACAGCTGCACCAGGTTCTCCATGCTGTAAAAGAGTAAGAGGTAATCAGCATATTTTGGAACTAAAATGAGAAATGAAAAGATCCTCTGATCATAGGTGATAGATACATTTTGGATATGTGGACAACATCCTTGATGAAAAGATGTTTGAAAAATTTTATGCAGTATTTAGAGTTCCAACTCCATACAATCCATCCGTAAGTATACTTATGCAGGAACATATTAACAGACTCCTCTGTCAAGAATTCGTTGAAGCAAGTCATGATGCTGCTTTGTGCAAAGTGCATGAATGTAATTGATAACACCAGGAGGTGGACCATTGCCATGCATCTCATTAACAAGCTGCCATGCATATGAGATTCTCCCAGATCTGCACAAGCCATCAACAAGAGAAATGTAAGTTATGGTATCAGGAACCAAATTTTTTAGATGCATTTCTTTAAAGAGATTAACGGCTTCATCTATCCTTTCACTCTTGCATAGTCCTTTAATCAAGATGGTATAACTCCAAACATCAGGCGTCAAACCCCTCTTAATCATCTGTTTAAATAACAAAATTGCTTGGTCGAGATGTTCACTTCTGCATAAACCAATCAACAAGGTACTGTATGCAACAACATCAGGGGATGGACCATTATGATGCAACTCATTCAAAAGCCTCCACGCAGAGAACAATCTCCCACATTTGCACAAGGCACCAATAAGAGAAGTGTAAGTTACAATATGAGGAACCAAATTCCTTAAATGCATTTCCCTCAAGAAACTCATGGCCTCACCTACCCTTCGATTCTTGCAACACCCATCAATCAATATGCTATAACTCCAAACATCAGGCTCCATGCCCCGTTTAATCAGCTGGTTATACAGCGCAATCGCCAGGTCAAGACGCTTCCCTTTGCACAAAGCATCCAACAAGATACTATAAGTAACAGCATCCGGCACCAGACCACTCTCATGCATTGCCTTCACAACCTTCCAAGCAAAACCCACCCACCCTAGTCTACAAAAGCAATCGATCAACAAATTGTAAGTCACAACATTCGGTACCACATCCTTCCCACACATCTCATCAAACAACTTGACAGCATCATCCAATCTCCCAGCCTTGCAATATCCATTAATCAAAACATTATAACTCCAAACATCCGGCGCAACCACCACCCTATCAAACAACCTCCTCGCCTCGTCCACTTTGTTCTTGAAACAATACCCCGCCATCAAAGCCGAGCAAGCAACAACAACAGCATTAGCCTCACAACCTCTCTGAAGCATTTCATCAAACACCTTGCGCGCCTCTCTCACCATTCCCTTCTTACACAAGGCATCAATTAAAACAGAAAAAACATAAGCATCAACGCCAACACCATTCAAAAGCATCTCCTCCGCCATGCAAACCGCCTCGTGGACCCTTCCGGCCACGCAAAACGCTCTCACAAGAGGCCTGTAAGTGAAAACATTAGGCACGACATGATTGCGAATCATCTCACGGTACAACTCACACGCCTCGTCCAAGAACCCTTCCTTACACAAACTCTCGACGATTGTACTATACATAACCACATTAGGCTTAACCCTAGCGCTGACCTCTAGCATCCTGAGCAACGAAATGGCGACGCGCGTTTTTCCGTTATCGCAGAGGCCGTTGATTAGCGTTCCGTAAGTGACTTGGTTGAATTGGAAGCCGCGGGCGAGCATGTGGTCGTGGAAGCGGAGCGCGGTAGGGAGGGCGCGGGCGAAGCAGAGGCCGTGGAGGAGGGTGTTGAGCGTGACGACGTCGTAGGGGAGGCCGCGCTTGAGGAGGGTGCCGAAGACGGAGAAGGCGAGGGGGAGGTTGCCGAGGTGGCAGAAGCAATTGATGAGGATGGAGAGGGTGACGTGGCAGGGGGACTCCACTTGCGCGCAGAGGGAAATGGCGGCGCGGAAGCGCTTCGCCCTGGCCAGGGACCCCAGGAGGCGGGTGGCGCGTGCCGTCGAGGAGGTACTTGCGGTTGAAGAGAATGTGCGGAACAATACTCTCTTCATCTACGCTCCTTCGGAGAAAATGGCAGAAGCTGTCGTAACTACTATCACTTATATTGTAGAATAAGGATTACAAAGTGGCACGTTGTTGATACATCATATCTCTTACGCTTAACGGTATCAGGATTCTGCGAATGGTCGAATATAGTTGAGAAAAGACCTAGATATTCAAATAGTTTCTATCAATGTGGACACACCTTATTCAGATTCTTCGGGAACCACGAATACTAAACATACCAATTACCAAACACTACTGTCATTCATTGGACTTGTTTACCTTATTATTTATTTATTATCTTTTGTTGTTTAAGAATAATAAATTTTCTTTATTTTTGAACCTAAGTAAAATAGGTAATGATCAAATATTTCCTTTAGTCCAGGATGAACTGAGGCTTGGATGTATTAAACAGAGCAAGCAGTAGGATAGTTCATCGGTTTTTGTTGTTGTATTCTTACAATTTTAATGACTTTGTGGCAGTGATCTGAGTATAAAGAACCTATATTTGTTATTCTATGTGAAAGTTTGTTTAATGTTTAATTTTATTTTTATTTTTTTGGAATGAAGGGAGCTGTTGGGCATTCTCTGCAATTGGTGCGGTGGAAGGAATAAATAAGATTGTAACGGGCGATCTGATTTCATTATCAGAACAAGAGTTGGTGGATTGTGATACATAATATAACCAAGGATGTAATGGAGGACTTAATGGACTACGCCTTTGACTTCATCATCAGTAATGGAGGGATCGACTCCGAAGAGGATTACCCTTACCTAGGTGTTGATGGTAGATGTGACCAATACAAGGTTAGTAACCACCTGAATCCTGATTATTTGATGATAAAAATACTCATCACTCTAATTTTTGTCTTCATGTTTTTATTTTTGTTATTTTTCTTGTTTGCAGAAAAATGCTGAAGTTGTTAACGAAGATGTTCCGGCCTACAATGAGATAGCCTTAAAAATGGCCGTTGCAAATCAGCCCGTGGCAGTAGCTATTGAAGGAGGGGGCAGGGAATTTCAATTATATGTATCTGTAAGTTTCTTAATTAATTTTATTCATGAACTAGAAAAAGAAAGGCGTGGCTATTGCATAGTAGTAGAATGGGAAGATTCAAAATTATCAAAGCATATATTATATCTAATAGTCCTTTGTGAATTTCTTATATCATGTTTTGAGCATTGTTTCATCCCCTAAACGTGGGCCTTAGATTACCTAAATGGAATTGGGAGTGTGCATAAATCAATTATATTTTGATACTTCAACTCATAATCAAGTTTAGTCCTTAAAGCAAGTTTGAGTAGATGTAAAAGAAAATGTAGATTTTACATGGAGTTAAAATCCAATTGTTTTATAACTCAATTTTAATGAAGATTCATTTTTGTGAAACTAAGAGCAAATTTGCAACTGCTCACACAAGTAAGCTAATTGGCCCATTATTCAATTTTTATCTTTTTCATTTGTTCTCATTGTTATCATTTAAAGCTGATAAAAATCAATATATCATATGTTCATTAATCATGTATGTGATAATTGGTTTAACTCTGGCTAATTGGCAATATCATCCAAATCATTTTCTACAGTGTATTTAATTTGTATCGACATAAGTTTCTTATTAGTATATTTAATCTCTTGTCAGGGTGTATTTACTGGTAGATGTGGAACAGCACTAGATCATGGTGTCTTGGCTGTTGGATATGGTACAGATAAGGGTAAAGATTATTGGATCGTAAGGAATTCATGGGGTTCTAGCTGGGGAGAGGATGGGTATATCAGATTAGAGAGAAACGTGGTTTCAGCTAGATCAGGCAAGTGTGGAATTGCAATTGAGTCATCTTATCCCATTAAGAAAGGTCCAAATCCCCCTAATCCCGGACCATCACCCCCTTCACCCGTCAGCGCGCCAAATGTTTGTGACAATTACTATAGCTGTGCCGATAGTGCCACTTGTTGCTGTATATTCCCATATGGAAATTTCTGCTTTGAGTGGGGTTGCTGCCCTGTTGGAGGTGCTACCTGCTGTGAAGACCACTACAGTTGCTGCCCTCATGAGTATCCAGTCTGTGACATTAATCGTAGACTTTGTCTGAAGGTATGGCTATGACTATCTAATATTTTCCTTCTGCTTGCATTTTAAACTTAAACTGAATTTTTAGGTGGAACTAATCATTGACTACTATTTTAGATCTTTGTGGTTGATTAGGTCCAGTTGCGTAATTCTTTTCTTAATGATTATGAATATGTTTAAATACAAATTTAAAAACGTTTATGAGAATTTCTCTACCGAAAAATATTCTTTATTTTTATTAGATAAAATCTCAAAAGTACTATTAACTTGTATCCAAACATATTCTATATAGAGCAAATTATGCTCAGGACTTGTTAAATTACAAACTTAATAGTACTTTTGAGAATTTCTTTAATGAAAATAAGGTTTTTGTTTTTTTAGTAGATAAACTGTTAATAGTGCATAGGTTCTTACACTTGAGGTTTTTCAAGGTTGCATATGACTTCCTAGTTCCTACTTTCTAGGATACACAATGTAATATGCTTCTTTGTTAACAGAAGGTGTTGGCCTTAGTGTTATATATAAGGAGTGTTTGTGAAATATGTTTTAAACGAGGTCAGTGAAGGAGTAGAAGATCAAGAGACATGGACAGAAATTTTATGGAACCTTAGGGGGTGTCGGTGTAATTCAGTCATGATTTTATAAATTGTTTTCTGTTATTGATTTGAATTGTCTGTGAATGACAGAGTAAGAATAATCCAATTGAAGTGAAGGCATTGAGGCGTACTCCAGCTAAACCCCATTGGGCCTTTGGAGATACTAACAAGGTCAGCAGTGCTTAAGCAGTTAAAGGGAATGTGTACGTGCAGAAGGAGCCGATGCTGAAGTAAAGGGAAGATGAAGGACTGAAACACTATCCAATACACTTCTCCTTTAACTTTCTCATATAATGCTGCACATAACTTACAGATCATTGCCATTTTATTAAGATGCAAACAGAAGTATTCTGCATCAAATTTCAGTCAGACATTGGCTTTGTACATAGGGTTATATTATTTATGCACTGTATTTGTATTCAAATTCTAAATGGCGAACTTATTTGATTGCTGTTAGTTTCCAACTTCTGTAGATTATTCTATAATGCAGCAATGCTTGGATTTATCCCATATTCAAATGCTATTTTAGTTACAATGTGGAGTACACCGGACCCCTTCCTTATTCTTTTTTGTTGTAATGCATTCTGTGTTCAGTTTAGCTGCTTAAGTTGTGATGATTTTTCGATTGGTGGAATTGATACAGCAACTTTTGACACAAAATAGGGTGGGCTAAAGCGATAATTTAAATAGGACATGCGAGATTCAGAGTTGATTTCATGCATAATTTACATATTTAATATTTTTTTTATATAAGATAAATAAATATAATTTGTTATAAGATGAGGGTTAAAATGATATCGATGTAATTTTTACTAAATATTACATTGTCGAATAATTTTATATTAAATGTGAATTTTATAAATTCAATCATTAGATTGAATTTTTTTTACTCTTAGATTATATATACAAAATTTAACATTAATTCAAGATGATTTGATACTTCATTCTTGTAAAACAAAATTTACATTATATATATATATATATTTATATATTAAAATATAATAAACTATGAACGTTTTGATTACCTTCAATTTATTTAATTTTAACAAAATTTTATATAAATATATAAAGTAATATAAATTTTTAATCTAACGATTAAATTTACAAAATTTATATTTAATATAAAATTATTGAACGATATAATACTTAATAAAAATTACATTAATGTCATTTTAAGGACTAAACCAGAACAATAGAATAATGTTATGTTAAGATCTAAAAATGACAAAACAAAATAGGTTAAAATAAGAAAGAATGATATTGACAGAAATTTAAAATATATTTAAGTTAAAAATATACAATAACATTGTATTTTTTTTATTTGATTAAAGAAAAATTAGGAAGAAAACAAAAGAAATAATTGGTTTTTAGAAATTAAAAAAAAAACTTTTTTCCATGTCTTCTTTAATTCAAATTTGAATTGTTTTTTACTTTTTTTTTAATTCAAATTTTATTTTCGCTCTAATTTACTTCAACTCAATCAATTAGATCCTATCTTAGAATGACTTATTTTTAGTCGATAGAAATTATTAAAAAGTGTAAAATTAAAAATTTTGAGTTCGAAAATTTTCTTTACTTTAAACTGGAATACTATCTTGTATCCTGAATTTTGAACTAAAAAAAAATGTTTCTTGTAATTTGTAAATTTATCAAATAGGTAGGTAACTTATCTTTCAATATCTCTACTTTTAGAATTTGGTATTGGGTTTGTAATTCATACCCTACCTTCATTCACACATTTTCATCCATATATTTATATATTCTATGTCATTTTCTCTCCACGTTCACACATTTCAGTTAAGGGTAAAAAAAAAGTAAAATAATATTTGTATACTTGATAAAGTAATTTTTAATTCTATCTCTATGACTAATGAGTATAGGGAAAGGATTAATTTTCTATAACATGATAAATAAGGTTTGAATTTCTATTAATAGTGTCTAATAATATTTTAAATAGAATTGTCTAAAAAAAATATACACAAGAAAAAATAATTTATCCAAAATTATTGAAAAATCAAATATATTAGTGAGTTACCTTTTTTTTTTCTTTCTCTCTCTTCCCTTTATCCAACAATCAATCATGTTCTTCCTTAACAAAAAAAAAAAAAAAGCATCCTGATTTAGTTTTATAATTCATATATTAAATTAGAATACTTATCTTGAATAAAAAATATTTTAGAATATTTTTAGTTAATATTTTTAGTTAATATTTTTTATAGGAGTTAAATTCTTTTTAATGAAAGTGTTTTTGTTTTTAAGATTTTCATAACATCTTATCTTTAGTATAATATATCTTTTCCATTTTCGGATGAAAAATATATATCAATCTTATTATTTAAAATAAATTTAAAAATTAAATGTTTTTAATTTTTGTAAAATAAATAAAATTTTATTTTAGTCTCTATAATTTTTTTTTCTATTTTTCATCAATCTAAAATTTGAAACTATTATTTTTTTATTAATCAAAATTACAATGTCATTATCAGTGTTCGAAACTAAAGTCGTGTATATATTAAACTAATTTTTTACTGCTAACTCAACCTAATTATTATAAAATTATTATTTTTAGTCTATATTATTATGTCTCTTTTTTTCTTTTTTCTAAAGCACTCATGATAAGAATAGAAAAAAAAAAAAAAAAACTATCAATTTTGGTCCAATTGACTATTTTAGACCTAAATATAACTATAACTAACAAATGAATAGTCTTACTCGTGACAATGAAATAAAATGTTAATATTTTTCTACTCCCATGTGATCAGTAATATATTCATTATTAGTGCATGTGCCCATAAGATGCATAGAAAAAATGATATGTTGATAAGTAATATATTCATTATTAGGGCATGTGATCAGTAACATAAATGGTAAATATATGTTGATAAAAGTTATAAGTGGTTTTTAAGATCAAACTATATTTAATATTATATCTTTTCAAATTATGCTTAATCTATTTTTTAACAATTATATCTATTTTTTAACAATTATATGCTTAAATTTAAATTTATTTAAATAAAAAATAGTTTAAGATTATTTTTTTAGAGTTTAGGATTTAGGGTTTATAAGTTAAGATAAATTTTCTAATAAAAAATTAAATATAAATTTCTCTTTATACTTTCAATTACGATTCATATAATGTTTTCTTAAGATTAATCTCAAATTATCAACACTTTTTTTTAAAACTTTCACTCATGAATTCCACAATATATTTCAAGTCCATATATTTGACACAAAATGTAAATGACTTAAATTAGTGTTTCACTCAATTAGAGGGATTTGATATATTACTATCAAAACTAAGAATAATATTAAGAAAATGTAAACATAAAAGATACATAATTAAGTTGAATAAAGAATGATCAACCAAATATAAAGCTAAAAAAAATTCTACAAAAACATTTAATATTTAATATCATCATGATTGATACAGTATAAACATTTCAAATTTAAATTTCATTTACCATATAAACAATTTAGTAGGAGCAAAATTTCAAATATAAAATATTTTATAAACCTAATTTAATGCTAGAAAATAACAAAATATATTATTTTAGTAACAAAATCAAATCATCCTCTTTATAAATAAGTTATTTTACTTTTGGTAATTGAATTTGAATAACATCGGTAGGTATAATGTGTTTTATGTAACACTGTACATTTTTGTTAATTATTGTTGATTTGAAGATCAGTTTGACCTTAAGGAGAATGTATATAATGTTTCTTTTAAGACTTGAGCTACATAAGTCCATTTAGAATCTTAGACATAGTTTAGAGAGATGAACACTAGAATCAAAAGTGACACTACTTACTTCTAATTCCATACACTACTAGAAAGATTGTATTCTAAGTCGGTTATTTTGCCATATCTACATCGGTTTTAAAACCGACTTAGATAAGGCCGTCGTAGATGAATGAACATATCTACGTCGGTTGCGTAAAAACCGACTTAGATGTACGTATACATCTAAGTCGGTTTTTACAAAACTGTCTTAGATATGTACATACATCTAAGTCGATTTTTATCAAAACTGACTTAGATGTATATATACACATCTAAGACAGTTTTTATTTAAAATGTATCAGAGCCGATGGTTCGACCGAGTGACTGGTGATCGGCTCAGACGAGTATTGGCTGGATCCAAGAGTGGGATCCTGAATGGAATTGGCAGGAGATCCAAGAGTAGGATACTGTACAAGATGGATTACATGTGTAACCAATTTTGTTAGGAACATACAAAATTGGGTCTTTTAAACCAGTCTTATATGTTTACCTTATAAAATCAGTTGTGCATGTAACCAATTTTGTAGATACATATAAAACTTGTTATATCGTAAGTGATTTTAAAAGTGCTCGTTAGAGATGGGAATAAAGGCGGATCAAACTTAGAATATATAGATCAAACCTATTTTATAAAATTAAAGTCTAAACTTGTCTAATTATTTATCATGGACTTTTTTATAGGTTCGATTTGGCATTTTTAAATGGTTGATGTTAATTATTAATCTATTTAAAATTATATTTTACATTAAAAATTAATAAATTTCATTTTAAATGAGCCAACAAATCTATTTTTAAATACACATGTGAGTTTTTTTTCTTAATTTGCATGATAAAAAAAATAGTTTACTCCATTATTACTAAAATATTTAGATTTTAAAAGAAAAATAGAAAAAAAATCTAATATAAGAGGGTCAACTCATACATATCTAAATACATTCGCACATAGGCTAACTATGATGAAATTAGGTGTGTGTGTGAGTGTGTGTGTAAATAGAGAGAGAAGAGGGGGAGAAAGATCCATTTACGCCCTACCAAGGAAGCGCAAGCCCAAATTTCTCCTCACTTTCACACAGATTTGGACACCCAAGATCCTTGTCATGGACTCACACATGCCTTAGGGAGTGTTCATACTGGAAAAAAAAACTCTGATTTATCCAGGTTAATAGACTGCTTTATAAACATTGAGAATGGTTTCCATAATTCCAGACTCCCTCTCGGGACCTCAAAAAAGAATGAAGTAGTCATCAAGATATAGGAGGTAATATGTGTGAGGTGCATTTCTGCAAATTTGCACCCCATGAAGCTCCTCATGACTTTCTTCTTGTTTTAGCAACTCAGACAGATCCTCCATGCCCATGATGAACAGATACGGTGACAATGGGTCAATTGGATCTATGTTAGGGAGTTTTTAACACTGGGAGAGCACTCCACAATGGGTAGTGAGTAAGTCATACAAGTGAGCTTGACA